AAAGACAACAATAGACAATCATAAAGGATGTGTACAAATTAAATTTTTTTAACAAGTTTAAATAAAATGGCAACCAAAAGGACAGTCAAAAAAAAAAAAGTTGCGAAAAACAGCTAGGTTGTAAGGCGGTGTATAAAACTAAAAACAGGAACATGTCTGCATTGGATTTTGCCACAAACTTAGCAGATGTTTGAAACCACTTAGAGAGGTCAAGGTCGAGAGCTTCAGATCTTTTTGCAAGATATTCCAGGAAACAGGAGCGGCGTAGGAGAAGGACCTTTTGTCTAGTTCAGTCCTCACTGAGGGAACACTGCAGGTAATAATGTCCTGAGAGCGCACGCTGTAGCTGCACTCACACAGAGATATGTAGGAGGAGATGTATGAAGGCAGCAGACCAAGAAGTGATTTAAAGATGAAAATGTACCAGTGGGAGAGTCTGCGTAAAGTTAAAGATGTCCAGTTAACCAGTCACCCATTTACCAGTGAGTCATCTATCTTGTTGTATGACTCACTGACTGACCAGTATCTGAGCCAGCAATGAGAAAATGCATTTTAAAAGGTTTTTAAATGTATTTTTAGACATTATTGTCCAATATTCACTATGTTCTGGTGACATTTGAAAGCTCCAACCAGTGTTCTGGGGCTTCTGGTGAGTCTAAAATAAATCTATAACAGTGTGATACAGTAAAGGAGACTGGACTCTCTGCTTCACACACCAGTCTCAGAGTAACTGCAGGTGTTTTTTTGTGTTTGCAATCAAAACCTGCAGGCATGACTTTTCTGTACTATTTCAAACTAAAGGTGAACTACAAATACAAAATAAAAGCCTTCATCACATTAATCTCTAGTCATGCTGAGAACAGCAACATTTCCATAAACTACAACTACAGCTTCCATAAAGATAGGAGCTGTATGGGAAGGTGAATGACTCAGCCTGCACAAGGGCATTTGCATGGAGCATAATAACATTTAAAAAGCTATCCGCCATTGATAGACAGGTGATAATTTATTTACTTTTTGGCATGCCTGTGCACGTGTCTGCCAGCAAAACCTCTCATGGACCACTGGACAGGTTGTACTGAACCGTGCAGAAAGTTATCACTGTACGTCTAAATCTGGTTTGAAGACAGTTTAATTCAAGATGGCTGTCATTGCCTTGCTTAACTCAGTCAAATTAACCAAAACTGAGCTGAACTTTGATGTAGTAGTAGCTGAGAGTCATTCCCAACACATGGTGGGATATGTCAGTGTGGCATGTGCTGTTATTTTCAGACCCAGACGGCTGTAACTCTGTCACTTTTCAACAAACAGCGATTTCAGATTAAAACTCTGGCGGCGGGTGGTATGCATTCCTTCAAGGCCAAGCCTTTAATTCAGGTACGGATTCAACAAACTGTCAATTGAAGAAAATCTGAGATTAGTTGCATTTAAACCTGGTTTGACACACATGACTGTACACATTTGACATGTTAGTGCCTGTGAAGAAAACTGGGTGCTGCCTCTGAGCTTTTGCTGGAAACATGAAAATAAAGGAAAAGGCACATTGTCTCCATTTGAGACTGCATTTTAAATCCTACAGATTAATAATAAATAAATAAAAACATTATCCTGAAACAAAACAGAAAAATAAAGTCCTTTGCTTGTACAACTCCCAAAACTGTGCCACGAAGGGGGTGGATGCAAATGCTCCTTCCCTGTTGATCATGCACGTCCTGTTTAGTCGGACTATTTTGGTTCTGAGCTGCAGAGGCCTCTTATCAGATTTCTCTGAGCAGACGGGCACTAGGTCAAACGTCTCAACTGAACCTCCTGTGGAAAATCTACACGGCTGCAGCTGATATTAACGGCAGGCCTCCGTTCAGCGAGGTTCAGAGCATGTGATCGCTGCTTTCTCTGACCTGTGAAACAGAGACTACCCAGAAGAGTGGCTGCTGTTAAAGCTGGCTCACCAGGTGTTTTATCAGGCGCACGAGGAGGACGGTTATTTTTATGCTGAAAAGTAGAAGGCGGATTTAAAGTTAGACGTGAAAACTACGAAAGAGGTTAGACGTGGGCTTTGATCAGTGGAGTCATGGCATGAGTTTAAAGAGTGCCACCAAATGTATAAAATGACCGCCGGTTAACTGTCAGAGCAGGAATTTCCACACAACAATCCTGAATACATACAGTAAATACGTGACTGTGGTGGGGTGAAAGGTCAGCTTCACTGATAATGACATTTTCCATGGTGTAAATATACAAACATTTCTTGTTCACTGACCTACACAAGGCGAGGTCAGTGAACAAGGCCATGCTGGTTCTGGCAGATCCTGATCATCTACTCCATGGTGAGTTCAGGTTGTTTCCATCTGGGCACTGCTGCCCAGATGTAGAACGAACAGACTGAAAAACTCAATCCCTGTAGAGATCAGGCTTCTTAATGAACAATGATGATTTGATTTACTGATATTTTAATGTCTTGTCTATGGATGCTTTACGTGTCTACTGACTGTGAAACAAATTGCCCCTTGGTGATAATAAAGATTCTTGAACTTGAAAGACTACGACACAAAGGGTTTAACATTTTTACATCGTCAAGCTGGAGCATAAAGTTTCTAACAAAGGGGTCACCTGGAACCTTGAAATCCACAGGGATCATCCTTGACCCTGAAGTGTTCAGCTGTGCAGTTTGATATTTCTCTGGAAGTTTTTCACCTTAGAGCTCAGACAAGAAGGATGGACTGCACCATATGACGGGTCCCGTGAAGGCTGTTCAACCCTTCAAGGATACAATCACCTGCCTTTATAGTCTTAATTCACTTAACCTGCACGTATTCAGCTGACGTATGAAGACAGCTAACGTGTGTGGATCTGTGTTAGCTCATCCGGACATGAGATTTAAAATAACTCCTGCTCTAAACACTGTACATCATGTGCATTAAATTCTGACAAGTTTTATCACAACTTTACATGTTTTACCTACAGTACTGTGCTAAAGTTGATAACCATCCCTCATTTCATCTGATGTCTCCTTCCAAGCAGCCAGACTGTCTTATTATCTTTTCAAGTCGACTTCATTAATAGTTCTTCAGGCCTCATGAAGGTCTTTATTTGGACATTGTCTTATTTGTCTCTTATTTTCAATTTGATCAGTGGCTCTTTGAGGACTTTCCTATGAGCAGTGTGTCTCAAAAAAAAAAAAAAAAGGTAACAGAACAGAGTTTGACATAGAATAGTAAATTAGCACCAACAAAGTGTTTCTCTAACAGTCACTATCTAAAAACTTGTCATTCAGACGATGATCAATGGAAAAATAATCTCTCTGGTCCTTTTTCAGGTTTTGAAGATCACAGCTGTTTTTGACTCTTTTGTTCTTTACTGTAGTGTTGAGTATGTGTGGCTTTTAATAACATTTAAATATAAAAACTGCTCAGCTACACGGTTAGCTTCCCACATTACGTTGCAATGCATTGTTGGGCTTTCACAGACATTATGACGCTGCAGAGGAAACGAGCTGCGTCTGTGTCACTACAATCAATCACCTGAACATGATTATCAGCACGTCTGCCTGTTTTGGACCCCGTGATAATTCGTGTTGGTCTTTGCAGATTGATTTGGGACTGAAAGAACTGGCTGTGTTCAATATCAACAGTAAATCAACACGGGGACCTTTTCTAGTTTACAGCCTGATGTTATTTTGTTGTTTTTGGTAATTATGCCCCTGAAATACAACACATATACCATATTTACTTAAAATAACTTTTAGGAGCTTGTCTAGAGAAGGTAAAATGTATTCATCTGAAGCCGGCTGATGTTACAGATGGACACGTTTGTCCAGGGCTTAATTTGTAAACCAAACGATGCCAGAATGCAAATGGTCTGTGGGTCCTCCCCCAGAAAATTTTGAATCAAGTAGATGCCATTTCCTGAGTTCTGATGTATTTTAACAGGTTTTTAAATGTCTATGTTTATCTACATTTGTAAACACTTGATTCAAGAACTATTTTTGAGAGCAACAAGAAGTAGCCTGACCAACAGCTCTCCTTGTGTGAACAGAGCACGCTCCGTGTCTCTCATGCATCCTACCCCTTCTCCCTCTGCGCCAAGTACTATTTCCATTGCCACTGCCTTCAGGTGCTTCAATTCTTGGTTGTTGAGTTGTACAACGAGAAGCCTTTTTAAAATGAAAGTAAACTGGACTGTCTTTTTGACATTTTGATCGCTGTTATTTTGACAAATTGGCAACGTTGTTTTGATACGTGACGTATGTAACATGATTACCCAACAAACACCTCTTTCATATATTTAATAAATAATCAAAATTTTATTACTGACCCATTTAAACTGTAAAACTGATTTGCAATTTAGTTGTGCTGTTTAAATATATTTTTGTGTTTTTAATTAAACTGCCCATGACTGTACTTTTAGGGGCAGATATTTTTTTCAAGGGTAGAAGCAGAAATGCTTACTTGAAGGGGCAGCTCTTATGTGATATTAGGAAGCTCGTAAGTGGCTGTTATGTTTAAACTTTGTGTTTTTATTAGTTTAATTATTTTCAGATTACATATAGGTTTTATTTGTTCAAGGCAGTCATATTTGTTCATAACTTTATTATTAGTAAACCTGAGAGTAACCGGGTCCAAGAAAACAGTTACCAGAACGCAGCCTGTCAAAATAAGAGAGTTCCCAGATCTTGTTCCAGCAGGATCTGGCTCAGATTAAGTCCTGCGTTTGTCTTTACAGCCTCCTCTGCACCACTTGATGCAGGCACACTGATTCACTATTCACACTTTGCTGTTTTTTTTATTAATTTTTTTAAATCAAACCTTTTTCCAATACTCAGCAGACTGTGCTATTTTAATCATTCCCATATCAAATCATGTGGCTCATTCAGAAGCTGGGTTTTGTAACTTTATACTTTTCATCATATTTTATTTTATTTACAAAACATATCATACAAACACTTTCAGATTGTTTCAGTAACTTTAAAAACATTGTTCGTTTTTCATACTCACTCTATTTTCATCTTTCTATACTAGTTTTACTTTATGGTTACCATTCTGATACATTTAGCTTTTAGCTACATTTTGCTAATGTTTTGTTACTTTAATATTTTAACTGGCCTTTCACTACTTTTAGCTTATAGCTAGCTTTCTGCTAGCTTTTAGCTAGCCTTTTTCTACTTTTAGCTAGTGTTTTGCTTCTTTAATTTTTAAACTAGCCTTTTAGTCGTTTTAGTGTCTAGCTAATCTTTTGATACGTTTAGCGAACGTTTTGCTACTTTTGCCTTTAATTAGTATTTTGCTACTTATAGCTTTCAGCAACTGTTTCTCTTAGCTTAGTTTCAGCTTGTTCGGTAAATTTCGGCAAAGTCATCGAGCTCCCAGTCTGTTGTCGGTTTCTCTTGTGTGTATCTGCGGTGTGTAGCTGAGAGTGTACCGAACCATCAGACGTGAAAAATAAAAGAAACTGAAGCCGACAGTTGGATCTCAACTCCCTGAAGAGAAACATAAAACCTCTCTGCTCCCTGTAAAAACCTCAGTCTGCAGATTAACTACTGAAAGAAGAGCAGTCTGAGCATTAATGAGGACTCAAATAAAAAGTGCTACAATAACATCTTGTCAGTTTATCATCCTCCAGCCTTGGATGAGCGGTGAATCGGTTGAGGACACTCACGTATTTCCAGCCCAGGGTCGTCTTGCAGTTCTCACAGTAAATATCCGCCACGGCGTGCAGGCCTGTCAGCAGAACTCTCTCCTCCGCAGGGCCACACCCAACGTTCACCCTGAGAGCAAACGAGGAGGGAGAAAAGTTTTTAAAATACATTTTGTGATGAGAGTTGCCTCCAACCCACGCAGACGTAGCAGAGTGATGAGGCAGCAGGATGGATTCAACCAGCCTAGTTTCAGCTGATTACGACGGCTCTCTGAGCCACAGCTTCTGTCTGGAGCTTTATGAGAAGTTCTCATGAAAAACAAATGTCCCATTAACCGGAGCAAAGCAGATCACTTCCCTCCTGCCGAAACTTCAGCATGCGCAGCAGTTTTGTTTCCTTTTATTATGTAAAATCTTGCAAATAGATGGGAAGAGATTTCTGATCGATACTCACACGGAGTTGAAAAGGTAAGCTCTGCCCTGGCTGCCCTGGAACGACTGCAGAGAACGACAGACAGAAGGTAGAACAATGAAAAGGCAGGAACGTGAATCTGTCCCAAGAATCTTTGTCCTTTGTATATGTGAGAAGACAGACGGATAAAAAAACCTACTTTAAATGTACTAACATCACTGATACAATCTGGTTGTTAGATTTTATTTACTGCAAATGGTCTGTTGAAGTGACACTAAATGGGTTTAGTTGGTGCAGCAACCTCATAACCAGCACAAGCTTTTTGTACTCAGGTGTGTTTTCATAATCCCACACGAAAAAGCAACGATTCATTTATAATCCAGCTTATAGTGTTAATCACTGACAGGCATAAAGGTGGATTGCACTTACGTACGGGTTCAACCTGTTGTTTAGGTCTAACTCCTCATCCGCTTTACGTCTTAATGTCTTCAACAACGAGTTTTGGAACAAAATCGTATAATTCTTCTTTTCTATTTTAGTCTATAGACGTAGCTATGTGAATAAAAACTTGTGCAGTGGTTTCCAGAGGCAACAGCTATTTGTGAGATGAGTCAAGACGTGTGTGCTGGTCACCTTGGAGATGAGCTCGTCGTGGTTGGCCAGGTGTGCTCGGCAGTGGATGCAGCTGTAGGTCCGGTGGCAGCTCGGCAGGTACGCCTGGAAAGTCTTGGAGCGCGTCATCCTGACCATGGGCGGTGTTGGCGGGCGGTGCAAGAAGGGACTGCCAGCCCAGGTCGGCTCACAGGGGAAGCACCGTAACACGCAGGTGAGGGCCGTGGTGGGCGGTGGGTTGGGAGGTGAACACCTGAGCACAGGGAGGACGATGGGTTAAGAGAACACTCCAGCTGGTTTGCTTATGACGCAGTGTGCATTAAAGGTGAATCTGTGTCTTTGGGTGGAAGGTGGATTAGCTGCAGGAACTATCTTGAATCAGGTTGACTCCAAAGATTACTCAGTTCTAGAGCCAGTGATTACTTTCTGAGAGTTTCATTAAAATCCCGTCTGCTGGTTCACAAGATAATTGGCTAACGGGCAAGAAAACAAACGTGAACACACAAAAACACAACATCTGCATAATTTCCCACCACCACAAAAGGCTGGCACTAAAAATTCACCACTGACAGAATGAACTATTTCTGAATGGAGCAGACTGGTCCAGTTTAAGGGATTGTTTGAGCCAACTTTAGACGATCTCACATAAATATGAACAGTGACAGATTTAAAGTCCACTGTCTGTGTGTTTGCACATCTCCTTCTTCTGCCACTTATCTGTGGTCAGGTCGCAGAGGCAACAGGAGAGAAACCCAGACATTCCTCTCCCCAGCAACACTTTTCAGCTCCTCCAGGGGGATTCCAAGGTGTTCCCAGACCAGAGGGGTCAATATTCCCTCCAGTAAGGTCTGAGTCTGCCCCATGGTCTCTTCCCAATGGGACATGCCCAGAAATCCTCCAAAGGGAGGTGTCCAGGAGGCATCCTAATCAGATGTTGGAACCACCTCAACTAACTCCTTCTGATGCGGAGGAACAGGCTCTACTAGAGTTCCCCCCATGGCATAGCTACTTAAGCTCTTTGTGGCTACATGTATCCCCCATTCAGAATTGTTACCTTAAAGCAGTAGAGGAGTTTGAATATTGTCTGGGGCATCAGCCCCTGATAGAGCCACTCGTGGCAAACAGCCCCCGGGGGAGGGTTCAGACCCAGAGCAATTCAAAAACCTGGCTGATAAACAGCAGCTGCATCTGGAAACTTCACTGGGAAAAGGGAAACCAGAGCACTCCTCTGGAGCCAGGTGTGGGAGTGGGAGCTCGCCTTGCAATCGAGGCTCCTGGAGCTCGACAGGGCCAAGCCCAAAACAGAGACGGGATGCAACCTCCACCCACGGGTACCACCTGCAGGGGGCTGTTAAGAAAGGCACTGAACAGAAACATTCACATACATAAAAAAAAAAAAAAATTAGTAAAAGTTATCTGTCTAAGGAAATGGAATAAACACGAACAAGAAAAGTGGTCAAACTGGGCTCCTACTGGTGAGTTGGCTAACGCTGGGTCTGGCTAAAAGGGTTCAATGAACCTCCACCACTGAAAGTGACAACGTAGAATCTCTAAAAGAAGCTCAGCCCACACTTTGACCATTAGAAAAAAGGACACTCCTTGACGGGTTTGAGACACGTGATGACATGAATTTTATCCACACAGACACACACACTAACTTTTCTGCTAAATCTATTATACTACAATGGTAGCCACGATTACATTGGAGTGGGGAATCATTTAAATATGAGAGTTTATATGAGTGTAGTGATGCTGTAGGTGTACCACCCCTTCTACCACAGGTACAGTCTTGTTCAACTACGCTCACGTTTGGTCTGCTGCCTGTTTGTTGGTGCACAGAGGCAGGTAGCAGTGCTGGTGCTGCAGAGGTAATCTGCTTAGTTGAGCCCAACTGTGAGGATCAAGCCGTGCTCGCTCTATGATATCCAGCGAGATTGTGCCCTTAAAATACTTACACTGGTGTGCCCTGCCTACTGAGAAGATTAGCAAGCTGGTCTGGGAGCCCAGGGGCCAGGAGGGCTGGGGTTGGTGGCCTGAGCTTTCTACCATGTTCTACAATAAAGCTTGCGCTTTTGTGCCTTAATTCATTCAATTTGTGATTTTAGCACCGCTGCAACAAAACTCTGATCACAAAAACAATTGTTTTATTCTCCTGAGCCACTTCATCAAGCTGCTGAGCCTCGATAAGAGACAACATTCATCTTTATACCTGCCCAACTGGGATTTATACGAATGCCCAACAGAAAAACAAACACAAGTCCACCTCTTTAAAAATAATAGACTTGAACGCCATGACTTTTTTTATAATCTAACCTTGTTTTTTTTTAGGAGTTTATGACCTTTACAACCCATTGTAGTGCTCTGTTATCGTTTCCATCCTGTCTGCATTTATTGGGAAAACCATCTGTGAAAATTGGTGAAACACTGATTGCGAGCAGGAGAGCAGGCCTCTGCGCCACGATTGTTTTGATTGTCTGACGAAGGCTGATAAAGGCTCCGAGGCTGATGGGAAGGATCCGAGGATATAAATAAATAAGGCACAGAGACGTGCCCTTGTTTTCTCTCCTCCGACTCAGTGCCCGCAGCGTGGGACTGGGGCACAAAGACACAGTGCAGTTGTGACAGCTGACCCCTGACACACACACACACACACACACACACACACACACACACACATGGACTGATGTTTATCAAATGCATGTTTAATCCATTCAGTCATTTCAGGACAACCCTCTGAGATTTGTTCAAAATGTCGAGTCTTGTGATGCAGCATTGTATCATTTAAGACATATTCACAGTTTTGATGCATTTCACTCTAAACTGCATGCAAACAACAAAGCCGTCTAATTGCAGCCAAGTAGTTTGTCTCCTGCTGCATATGATCTATAACAAGTCGGTCGGTTTCAGCATCTGCAGCAGCTTTTGCTTTAAATCCCTGAGAGTAAAAGCCCCAGCGGAGAGCAGAAATGTAAACATGACGCATGGAGGAGACACTCTGAATGAGAAACTGTGAAGCTGTGGGTTGTGGAAAAATCTCAGCTCGATGCAATTACCGTTAGCAGTAACCCTAAGTTCTCTGTGACAGTAATGTTCCCTGGAAGGGCGATGTTCAGCAGCAGAGCAGGACGTCCATGCTGGATGTAACTCCTGCGTTTCATTGAAGGTGATTCACTTCATGTAAGGCCCTAACAAAGCACCAGTCTGTGTCTGAAGCTCAGAATGGAAATATATTCTAATGGTATTCTAGTACTGCCCCTGAGTTTGAGGAAAGTCAAGTCAACTTTATTGTAGTTTCCATCGTATGTGGTACATGAGGTGGAACGAAATTGTGAACACAAGGTCCCAGTTACACCAAAAAATAGCAAAGTATAAAAAGAAACAGTATATAAGGATCTAAGATATTCACTAAGATTTACGCTAAACAAACGCCAAATGGTATGCTAAAAGATCTAATAATGTAAAACAATACAACGCAACAACAGCAGCCCGAACATGAGTCTGTGGTGAGCAGATGGTATGAATGAATACAGCAGCATGAGATAATCTGCAGCATGAGATAATCAGCAGCATGAGATAATCGGTAGTATGAGATCAGTAGCATGGATAATCAGCAGCATGGATAATCGTAAGCATGAGATCAGCAGCATGGATAATCAGCAGCACAGATAAGTCACATATCATCAATTAAAGTGGTATAACACTGATTTTTCTTTCTTTTATTTTATTTAAAGGGCAAATGTTAGAGAACAACATCTATTTCTGCTAATCAGTGTTAAAGATGAACGCAAACACATTTCAGCGGCTTCTTCCGTTTCAGAAATCCTTTCATAAATGGGCTGCTCGTGGTTTTCCAGAATCACTCCTATTAGATCTGCTTCAAAACAGTTCCTTGGTCACTTCAAACCAGCGCCTTCATCTCTTGTGGTCTTTCTTTAGTAAAACAATTTGTGTTTGTTCTGTTGCATGGACCACTTTATCTTGGCACTCGATTTCTACACTTATGTCCCAACATTTACCTTTAAAGTGCACAGATTTGTTTGTTCCATGGTACTGCCAGCTCTGTGTTTCACAGAGACAGTAAGGTTCTCATGAGGAACATAACTAACTGGTTTCACCCAAAAGTTCATATCTTGGTCTCAGGACTGTTTTCAGTATCTTTATGTCCATGTGATGTTTAGCAAACAGCAGAGAGCAGGTCGTGGATCAGTGTTTACAACGATGGTGGGCTGGAAAGGAAGGGTCTGCAATCTGCGGCTCTAGGGCCACATGTGGCTCTTTGGTCCCTCTGCAGTGGCTCTTTGTTGCTTTGACTAAAAATATTATGAAAATGAAACTCATCGACATTTAAAACCACAACTGAAAAGACCAATTTTAGTTGTTTTTGCAAAAATGTGAATGCAAGGAATAAAATTTGATTACATTGTGCTGCTGCTTTGTTAGCCCGTTAGCCACTTAGGGTAAATGGAATGGACTGTACTTATCCATCCATCCATCCATCCAGTCATCCATCCATCCATCCATCCATCCATCCATCCATCCATCCATCCAGTCATCCAGTCATCCATCCATCCATCCAGCCAGCCAGCCAGCCATCCATCCAGCCAGCCAGCCATCATCTTCTGCTTGTTCTGAAGTCAGGTCACTGGGGCAGCAGCTTGAGCAGAGAGGCCCAGACATCTTTTTCCACAGACACCTCTTCCAGCTCTTCTGGGAGGACCCCAAGGTGTTCCCAGGGTCTTCCCCGGAGTCTCCTCCCAGTTGGACATGTCTGAAGCACCTCCCTAGGGAGGCACCCAGGAAGCATCCTTACCAGAACTCAAGGCCATTTAGGGTAAACCGACCAGTAAACAGAAAGCTTTCCCTTACAGCTCAGCTCCCTCTTCACCACAACGGACCGGTACAGAGTTTGCAATACTGCAGTTGCTGCACCAATCCATCTGTCAATCTCCCACTCTATTCTTCCCCCACTCGTGAACAAAACCCCGAGATACTTGAACTCCTCCACCTGAGGCAGAACCTCACCCTCGACCTGAAGAGAGCAATCCACCTTTTTCGGCCACGGCCTCAGATTTGGAGGTGCTGATTCTCATACCTGATGCTTCACACTCGGCTGTGAACTGCTCCAGTGAGAGCTGAAGATCACGGCACAATGACGCCAACAGGACCACTTCATCTGCAAAGAGCAGAGATGGAATCCTGAGACCACCGAACTGGAATCCCTCGGTCCCCTGGCTGCACCGAGAAATCCTGTCCATAAAAGTTATGAACAGAATCGGTGACAACGGGCAGCCCTGCAGTCCAACTCCCACCCTGAAGGAGTCCAACTTACTACTGGCAATGTGAAGCAAACTCTCACACCGCTTGTTTAGGGACTGAACAGCCTGAAACAACGGGCCCCCAGTCCTCATGTACTTATAAAGCACTTTTATGTTTTATCAAGACACTCAAAGTGCTTTACAACACAATCTGTGCCCTCATTCATACAGACTCTACTAGATCTCTACAAAGAATAATCAGTGTCACATTCATACACCGATGGGACACACATCAGAGGCAATGAGGGCTTCACTGCCTTGCCCAGAGACACTTCAGCATGTGACTGCTGGTGGAATCAAACCCCCAACACTTCCATGGGAGGACGACTCCTCTAACCACTCAGCCACAGCCGCCCCATTTATTTATTTTTATTTTAACTTCCAGCTGCACAGAGGGATCCTCCTCTGAAATCCATCAGCAAACTAAAATAATGTGAAGCCTTTAATGCAAGCTGCTGAAACTCCCCCAAAGTGCAGTTCTGCAAACATTAAAGATTATGAGTCATTGAAAAAATGGATCTGCAAAAGATTAGGCAACACATTTTGATAAGGATTAAAAATCAATGCTCACTATTTAAACAACAACCCAAAAAAAAAAAAACAGTTAAAGTTTAAGAAAAGATCTCAGCCTTTATTTAAAAAAATGATGATTCACCACTAAATACCCAACAAACTGGTCTAAATTTTCCGTTTACTTTAATTATGTGCTTTGTTTTTTCAAGGTAGGATAATAATTTATTACATTTTCACAAATATGTCTCTCAAATGCCTTCGAAGTTAACAATCCCTTGTTTACATATGTGAGAACTGTATTGTATTAAGATGTAAAATACAAACAAACGTGTGATTGTTAAATTATTTGGACACTTTTAATTTTATAACGTAGAACAATCAGTTTTTTCAGATGCAGTATTGAAATACAACTAAATGAGTTAACTAAAAGCTTCTAGTGAAAAGGTCATGGAAGGCCCTGCAGTGGGAGGAATGGGCCACCAGTTGGTCGCAGTTCCTGCACATTTTGTGCCTTTGAACACGTTTTATTTAACAGAAGAGGCAGAAGTTGTTTTCCTGACTGTCGAAGCTGCAGAGCCTTGAACTTGGAGTCGGTCCTGAGGACGGCAGCACCTCGACCTGGACACGACGTGCCTGTCTGCAGACTGGAGGAAATGGTTTTGTTGCTTTAAGCTCCGGTGCGTCCTGCGAGATATTTCAGTCAACTTAATCCACTCAGCAGAAGATGTGATTGTGGCGCTAATCGCCACAGCCCCACTGATGAATTACATTGTTTTTACCATTCATCAACACGATAATCACCTTTTATTTACACGTTACAGCATAAACATTAAAAATGTTTCTTTCCTCCCCACATGTTCTAACAACTCAATATGTACGAAAAACGAAAGAAAAGAAGTTAAACACTTGAAATGTTAAAGCACTCTTTGCTTGAGCATAATGTAATAGAGTTAAGAGGCAGAAGCAACAACTCGTCTTGTCAGGTGGAAAAACTTACAAATTATGTTGCAAAGCAACGCTGCTGCAAGTGAAGCTCTGCAAAACGCTGACGCAGAGAGTCAACCTCAAACAGCCTCTGAGAAAAACAAATTGCATAAAGCATCAGATGACTACAGATCGCAGGGACCCAGAACCAGGCAGGATCCACCGACTGCATCAAACCTGCACTAGGTCTGCCTGCCTCTGTTTGCATATCCCCCTTTTATTGTTCGCCTTTCTGTTTATTCACGAGTCCTGCAGGGGGTCGGCTGAGGTCAACGAGCTGTCCATTCTGGTCTTTTTGAAGCGTCATCACAAACGGCTGCATGAGTCCCTCTGCCCAGCAGCACCCTAGCACCAACAAAAGCAACAGAAAGAAAGGTGTTATGCAACACCCTGATGCTGCAGATGTTGACTCTGTGCAGAGAAACGGTGATGCTCGCCTCCATCAGCCTGCTTCACCTCCGCGCCCACGAGCTGCTCTCACACCTGGCGTCTTCTCCTCCGGCTCAGAGTCCGAACAGGAGCAGCAGCTCACAGCAGCATGACATCACTGCCTCCGCTCGTATCCAGTGATGCTCCTGCCGCTCGCTGTGGGTTTCTGCTTACTCCTGCCGGGGCTGGGCTTCTGCCTCTCTTTGGTTCGGTTCTTGGAGGACCAGGAGGTTGGCGATGGAGGAACCAAGCCTCAGTTGATAAGAGATCCTGCTCGTTTGTGTAGCGGCTAACTGTAATCGCTTGATGTAACTTTTTGTTTACAAACCCTGCCTGTGAAGGATCATCTTTCAGGGCCTGCAGCTCCCCACACTAATCTTCCCTTCATATTGATCACATGATCACATGATCAATCTGCACTAAAAATAGATCTCAAACACTGATAACATGGTTTTGTTAATTTGCACTTTTTTGGGGAGGGGTGGGGTGGGGGGGACATTTCCCTCCCCTGCATGTGCATGGAGTCACAAGATGAGTGAAAGCAGGCAGACTCGGATTACAGTCTAAATGTGTGATTACTGGTGTGAATCAGGTCACAGGAAGTGGCGCACTCTATCTGGGGCAGAACTTCAGCCCCCACAGATGGCGGGGATGCCTCAGCTCAGCTGTGCTCAAAAACAAACACCCTATCCGCGATGATTCTGACAGGTGACTGCAGAGTTAGCCGTCAGTCACGTGACCCGATTATGCGATAGCCTGCATTGATCACCTCTGACGTGCGTGGATTACAGCAGCGAGGATGGTGGCGCATACGTGCAGCATTGCATGCGTCTTTATTAAAATAAACACTGCGGCCGCATGGCTGTCATCATGTAAACAAGGAAAACACCAGTCCAGACACGAAACTCACGATAAAGCGCGAGGTCTGCACGCAAAACCATAAACTTGACTTAAACATTGTATTTATATTCATCAAAAGTTTGATTAGTGAGTCTGCAACAGACTGATGGCTCCAGAGGAATTAAAAACAATGCGTAATAAAGCGCATTAGGATGAAAAAAATACATACAAGATGAACGCATTTACCTTTTGAGAGGAATAAAACAAAGATCTCCACGTAGCCAAGAAAAGTGTCGCGCCTCCTCGTTTTCTCGGTGGCGGAGCCAATTCCTAAAACCTCTTTCGCATTCCTTCCCTAGCAGTTTTTCCTCTGTTCCCCAGGCCTTGGTAAGTCCTGCAGAGACGCAATGTTTTGACGCGCAGCGGAGTTTACAGAGGAGGACAGAGAGTAACGAAGCGACCAGCCGGAGCAAGAGGATACACTTCCGGATACTATCGTGTTCGCAGGGAAGCCCGCTACTTCTGACCAGCGGCTGATTTAGCTGTTTGTTTTTTCGTTTGTTTTTATTTGTTCGTATAACAAGGGTGATTTTTGTTAGAAAGCTTTTTTGAAAGTACAATGTCACTCATGTTTAGAGTGAATATAGCTTTGTTTTAACTGAAAACATAATGACAACGTTTTGAGTTACTGTACTTCTTGTAGCATGTTTTAGAGAAAAATGAGTTTAAGCGAAACAAAAACGAAACTTTCCAGCTCGGAATTGTTTATATAAAAGCTTTTTTTAAACCACAGTTTTCAAACAAAACTCAAAAGTTTGCTTTACATAACGCCGGGAAATGACAACAAACGCGCTGTACGCTACGTTAACTATCTTGACCTTGTACTCTTTGTGAAGAATCAACATTATTTTAAGGTTGAATGACAGTCGTCTTAACCAATCACATAACAGATAGAGCATAGCAACAATGCGCCGATTGGTCAAGGGAAAAGAGGAGTAACCAATGAGGAGTAAGTTCCTCGAAACACGGAACCGATTCTTTTAATGTGTTCTCACAGACGGCGATGTTTATGAAATTAAAGTTACGCGAGAAAACAAAATGCTTTGATAGTTTTCAGTAAAAAAAAAAAAAAAAAAGTATCCGAGGCTGAATTTTATTTAAAAAATTGTCCAGCCTTCTTTCCTCTTCTGCTTCTAGTAAAACTTTTTTAATCCAGTCTGCAGCGCCATCTGATGTCAGTTCACCATACAGGCCTAAGTGCCCATCCAGAAACCAAAATAAAATACTTTGTTCAGAAATAATACACAGCACAAGCAACGACAGGAATACATTTACAGCTCGTCAATAGTAAAGAAAACTATTTTATTTATTTATTTATGCAATCAAATGGTTTACTGTAGGTGGGAACAACATATTCAAACACATCATCATGAACATGCAAAATAAAACCACTCGCAACAACACAAGTAATGTTATTAAAAAAATCTATTCTCTTTTCTAATATGATTCATAAGTCAAGTCTTTCAATTTGTTTTAATGAATAAAACTGAAAATATTTAGAAACCACCTCAGTGAGAACAGAACCCAAAACACCATAAATGAAGACGAACATGAAACAGAATACTGGGAATGAGTACAAAATACATTCAAACAATGCTACATTCATTACAGACCGCTAACTAGAAGACACACGTTTGGATTTTAACTTTTACACCCGTCTGTCTTCACTGGCCTCGCAGCAGATTTACAGCCATTTTTCATGTCCACATCAAATGCCAGCAATAAAGCGGTCAATCAGCAGTACAACACAAATTAACTGATAAATTATTTATTTTCAATATTTAAATTCGTACACTATGATTACTACCACACTGATATGAAAATAGAAATATTATTAATTTGTGCAAAATGTATCCTTCAATATTTTGACTCTGTTAGGAAACCTTTGTATTTTCATGTAATAAAATAATAGACAACGAACGGTGGTCATGATAATAGAGCCTCACTGTGAGACGGGGACTCTTCACCTTCACTGTCAGAATGCTCATGTGAGGCTCATAAACATCTCGCAGCTTACGACTAGTTTATTACAGCTGCAGCCACGTGACGACCTGATCATAAACAAATACAAGACAATAAAAACTGAAACTGGGAAGTAACACTAAAGCCATGTTAGCTGGAGTTTCTACAAACTAATTTCTTGAAGCCTGACAACAACAACAAAAAATCAGCAGCAAACCATAAAACATCTTCACTTAGGTAAACCTTTATCAAAAATATCTGAAATAAGAAGTTCTGTATCTAATATGATAACGTAGACCAGTAAGACTCGAACACGATATTTAGTGGTCACTTTGTCCCGTTTTCTGGACTCGCCTATAAAGACTGTGGCGTTAAATACCGCAGGCGTCTAACACTGTTTGGTGTAAAAGTGTACAGCCCTGGAACAAAAAGAGCCATTTAAAAGGCTTAGTAATAACTTTGGACATCCAGTTTCAAGTCAACCAGGGTTGTCAACCTCCAATATATTTGGATAACTTTCTTGTTAAAATATTGCATTTGCAAAAGATGCAAAATTCCATCTTATAAGAATAATATGCCTTCATTCTCACGTAAAGAACAAGTTTATGGGTTCATGAGGCTTTGTTGAAAAGCATGCATCAACCTGGCCAGGAGGTCACAGGTTGTGTACAGGTTCATCTGTCAGATATGACCCTCCTGACCGGAAGAACCTCATATATCTTCATATAAATTAAAAAACAAATAAATTACTTTATCTTCATTATATCAAACAACTGTCTTATTGCACGTTTGTTTCATAGCAGCCAAATGTGTATATAATAATTAGATAAATATGTACAGAATATATATTTTCAGAGTGATAAATAGATAAATATGGGCAGGGAGCAGGGGGGGGGGGGGGTACAAACTTTTTTTTTTTTTATCAGATTTTGACAAATGAAGCCTGGCAGATTAAGTGTTTAATTAGTAATATGTAACACACACCTACAAGCACACACACTGTATACACACACATTATATAATTATATATAATAATAAAAAAATATAAAATATTACATATGTCAGAAATAGCTCACTGGAAGTGCTGCTACAACTGATTGCTTTTAGAGGCAACCTGAGTAAAGATGGCCGTCACTGCTAATCAACCTTAGGAAATTGTAAATCTTGCCTATATCTGAGTCAACTTTAGCAATAATAAGCTAAAATGTAGCTCATATTTTTGAGTGCTATTTGATTGTGCAAGATTTGTATTTTGTACTTCATCACTACCTGTTGCAATAAGCTGCCTGTTAGCAAAATAACTCATGAACCACGGGACAGATTTGAATGAAGTGAGCACTTGATGTGCATCGACAACTGATTGATCTTTCGAGGCAATACAATTCAAGATGGCTGCTAACGCTAGTCAGCATTAGCCAATACAATATTGGTTATAAGTCAGTCAGTTTTATGGATAGAGGTAAAGCTTGGTGTGGTAGTAACTGGGAGTCATTCCCAACACATGTTCAGAACACTATCTGAACACGCAAGATTTAGCAGAAATGTATGAGATTGTGCTTCACATAATTTTCTATAATTATTCAAAACGTCTCTCGCTCCATTATTTCTCATCTCAGATTAAAACTTTGGCTTGAAAGATGGCGGGCGATATGTGTTCCTTCGAAGAAATGATTAGTTTATTTCAAATAGCTTTTACGAACCCATAAACTTGCTCAACCACGCAGGTTAAAACTGTACATTTTAAAACACTTCTGATGAGTTTGAGGTGGGGAGTGTTCCAGAAACACTGGCTAATTCAATGCAGACGTGCCCCTTTAGGACTTTTAACTGAATAGAAAATATTTTTATCACCAGGACTGCATCGAGACGCCTGTACTGGTGTAGCGCTGCAGAAATGCACGCAGTGAAAGGGCGTGAAAGTGGAGCGCCGGTCTGGCAGGTCAGCAAGCTCGAAGGATCATCACATGCTGAAAAGGGCCGAGGCAGGATTGGACGGGTCACTGGGATTTAGGGATGCCATTCCGATCCATGAACTCTTTAAGCCTGGTGGGAAAATCTGTCATGACCCCAGTGGCTCCCAGATCAAACGCCCTTCTGTAGTCGTCATCATCATTCAGCACCCAAATGTAGACCTGAAACCAGACGCAGGACTCGTACAGTCAACACACAACTCTAGTATAAACTGAAACTTGTAGCACACGAGGATGTTTCCTGGTAACTGTTTTTAAATACAGTGCCTGGCGAAAGTGTTCACCCCCTTCAACTTTTCAACCTTTTGCCACATTTCAGGCTTCAAACATAAAGATATAAAATTTTAATTTTTTGTGAAGAATCAACAACAAGTGGGACACAATCTTGAAGTGGAATGAAATTTATTGATGTGTCAAACTTTTTTAACAAATAAAAAACTGAAAAGTGGGGCGT